ATTCCGCATTAAGACCCGTGCATACAGAGATTACTCGTACCACTGATTTTAGTATTTTAGCGGAGCATCAAAACCTATTCGTAAATTCGATACTATGAAGATCCATCTACTGAAACAAACTACGAAACATCAAAACTTCAGTGACTGCCTTATACTCGCACTAAGAAATCCAATAAACCTCAAACACCGTTGTGCAAGCACCCACTTTCGGAGCTTTGCTCTTCAAGCCTTGCTTACGTTTACATAAAAATGTTCAGAAAATAACTGAACAGCAAAGCGACAGTTTTTCAATATTTCTATACTAACCTGTGAAAACCGGACGCTAGTTCAAACGTCTATACCAGCAACTTTGGAAATTTCATGCCTTTCGTAAAATCGATATTTTTTAATAAAAATACCTTCTCTGGAAATGCCTAGGGCGATACAGCCGATTTTATTCAGGTCACCCGAAACCACATTTTTCTCCCTGTTTAAACCGCTGGTACAAAATTATACTCACTTTCTAAATTAAACAATCGATACTTGCAAACAACCTTACCAAGTATTCCCCCGCTCCCATCATCTTTATACGCACGTCGATTCGAGACTTTCAAGCGCAACGACAACCTGACGCAGCTATACACTGACATGACTCATTCTAATTTCGAAGGTATAGGTCGCTAATTGAACCTGTGAATCAACATAGCAACCATTGGATTTGCTAAAACAATATCATAACTTCCATTTTCCATATCTGTATGGAAATCCATATCATGTTTTTGCAGTGAGAAATATCCCTTCATCATCGACGCTTCCCCCTTTATAAAAGCACAGGTATGCATCGACAGCTCGCCAAAAGACCTGTCTTTTCGTTGTCAACAATTTTATATAATAAAATCACTATTTTATTTCAATCGTCATCAGCCTGAAATCCAAATTTTGTATGTTACCAATACGGACAATCTACTTCTAAGAAACGATGCAAAGTCAAGAGGAAATACGGCCGGCATTTTTCAGTTATTTGTTTCCTACTGTAACTCCATACCATAACGTTTTTACTGTATGAAGTCAAGATCAATTTAAACTTGCACTATGATACTTCAATATACAGTTCTTTAGATTACTGTAAGGGAGATTTTTCATATCTAGAAGCAAGCAACGGCTACAGGGAACTAGAAAATTTTCTTCCAAACATTGCTGAAGCGAACGCATAAGCATACACAGAATCGTAAAAGGAATTTCGTGAAAGTTCGCCGTGCAATTAATGGAAACCAAAGGGCAGATATTTTTGGCAATATAAATAAAACAAACAAATGTCCGAGTTAGTCGAGCAAGAGGTTCCGCCCTTTCAGTTTATCAGTTTCATTCTGCAAGCGAGGGTGTAGTTCGCTATCCTCAAAGCGATCCTGTTCAACACTTTCGACAACGGTTATTTATATCCACGCTACGCAAAAAAAGAAAATAGCCGTGCTAGTGAGATCAATGGCAATTTAATCGCAGTGACTCAGAGCATAGCTGTCAAGCGATCTTTGCATTCTTACTTTGTTAGCAATTTACTATGCAATATTCTGTTTGAGCATTAGATTGTCGTTCGTTGTTTGGCCAATTGGTCAACAGCAGAGAAGGCTTGTTTGCAAAACTGCGAGACGCCTCCGACCACACTGTCGATTGTACAAGCTTACTGTTCAGCATTTAAATTTTATACACGTTTGACTGGATCAAATAATCCATTGACAAGTTAATAGGTTTACAATTAATCTGTATTTCGGTTCAAAAGATTATTATTCCTTATTTTCGATTATACAGCTGCCATGGTTGTTACACAGACAAAAAAATGAACGCATTGTTGCAATCTGCGAATCAACTTAGCTTCGTCGGTAAAGGTAACAAAAGTTACGTATCTGAAATATGGACTGATTTACAGTTTCGTAAATGTAGCTTGATAATGAAAAGTGTATGCTGAAATTTAGTGTTATTTTCTTATCTCAACTTTCTATTATTCTCGATTTCATGCTGCTCCTGTTCGAATATATTCAAGCCCTTCATTTCTTAAGCAACCATTCTGAAATAAACTTCAAAATTAATGCTTTCAACAAATGCCAGTTATGCTTGCGCACTTCCATTAAGCTGTGAACTTGAAGACAGAAAGAAACATGCAAAAAACATGACTGAGTGCCTGAGTGGATTAGCATCTTACCGGATACTGTTTCATATCAAGCGAAAAAATTCTTCATTAAATGCTCCAAATATGCCTGCCTTCCCAAGACAAGAATCTCCTTCCCTAGGTAAATAGCATAATTAATCCGACAAAACATTGACTGTGTCTGCGGCGTAGAAACAGCGGCACATCGCCGAGGTTTTGCTTCTACCTAGCTTGTTCAAACGCACTATCGCCCGCTTACATGGCCTTTTCTCAAGGAATCTCTAAACTACAGCTAGCAACACATTCGAAATACATTGTCACGGAGGCATGCCAGTAAATATATCTGATTTACGGACTGTCGACATAAATAAACCTCGTAACTTAATAGCCTAAGCAGCACAAATTGCCTAAGCTGCGTTGAGTAGGA